GGGCCGGCTTTTGCAGTCTCCAGAGAGCGACCCGCCTTCCCTGGGGTCCCGGAGCGGCCTTTGCGCTGGAGAAGCGAGAACCACGCGGACGTCGCACTGATTGGATCACGCCTGAATGACTCTGTTGGGGGAGAGTTCCGCGTGCTGATTGGCCGAGGCTTTGGTGAATGAACCAATTGGCGAGCCAGAGTACGCCGAGCATTTTAGGCCAATCGGAGCGCGGGAAGCAGGAAGGGCGGGCCTTACTAATCCGGGCTCTGGGTTGTTGAGTGACAGGAGAGGCTTGGCCGGACTCCGGAGGACCAGCGAGACGGCCGCGTTAGGGGGTTTTAGATGTTTTGGAGAAAGGCTCGGGTCATCTCATCTCTTCCCTTGGTCATACGTTTAGCCCTGGGGAGCCATGGAGGACTTAGAGTGAGTGTGCTTTAAATTTCAGTTCAGACAAGCGAAAATGGTCTTCCGTGAATACCCCGGCCCCTGGGATGGAACGAACCCTTGGATACAGTCAGCTCTGCCCCCGGAGGCCCTTTTGCACTGGGTGTGATGCTCCTTGTTCCTAAAAGGCACACGTCAGTCACTCGAACAGGGTGAGATAAAGGATGCTTTTTTAAAATTTTCAGAAACTAAGACAAGTGGAGGCATTCTATAAAGAGCGACTCAGCCTGTAATCCCAGCACTTTGGGATTCCAGGCGAGAGGATTGCCTCGGGTTCAAGACCCACCCGGGCAACTTGGCGAGACCTCGTCTCTACAAAAAATCAAAAATTAGCCGGGCTTGGTTGCGTGTGCCTGTAGTTCCAGTTACTTGGGGGGCTGAGGTGGAGGGACCACCGGAGTGTGCCACTGCCCTCCAACCTGGGTGACAGAGTGGGACTACAACTAAAAAAAAAAAAAAAAAAGCGTTCCTTTGAGAGGCCTGACTGGGCGGGTTGAAGGACAGTGGAAGAAGGTGGTAGAGGTCAGACTCTGCTCCCCCCAGCCTGTCCCCATCCAGCTGATTTTCTTGGAATTGCCTCTCTGGAAGGTGGTTGGTTCAGTGTAATTATTTCAGGCTCAGTAATTACACTCAGAATTGGTGTTTTTTTTTTTTTTAAGTCTGAGTCTCACTCTGCGTCCCAAGCTGGAGTGCAGTGGCATGATGGCTTACTACAGATAAGCCTGGGCTCAGATAATGCTTCTGCCTCAACCTGCCATGTACCTGGGACTACAGGTGCATGCCACCATGCTTGGCTCTTTTTTTGTTGTTGTTTTTTGTAGAGATGAGGCTTGCTATATTGCCTAGGCTTTGAATTTTTATTTTATTGTTTATTCTAGTATTATGATATTTTCAAAAGATGATGTCTTGCTATGTTGCCCAGGCTGGCTTTGAACTCCTGACCTCAAGCAATCCTTCTGCCTTGGCCTTCCAAAGTACTGGGATTACTGTGGCCCACCTGGGATTTTTGTTATAGGGGACACAGCCTGGGTTTATGTAGAGGACAAAAGGAGACGGAACAAGAGAGAGAGTGTCTTTACTACAAAGTGTTTTTGATGACCCAGATGACACACTTCTAGATCGAACACAACAATCAGCCCGTGATTCAATTGCAAACCAAAGATATTTTAGCCAGTTAACTCATGGAAGTTGGTCTGATGACAACGCTATCACGCTCTGTATGATTGGCATTATAAGCCTGCTTCTCTTTTCTTTCTTTATCCTGGGGGGGGGACAAGGATGAAATAGGCCAGAGAATGTACCCTTTCAAAACAAACACACAGAAAATCAGAATCAAGAAACCTGGACTCTGCCACTAACAAGCTGTGTGACCTTGGAAAAATCATTTGACCTAGCAGTCCCCCAACTTTTTGGCATCAGTGGACTGGTTTCGTGGAAAACAGTGTTTCCATGGACCAGGGCTGGGGGATGATTTCAGGTCGATTCAAGTGCACTACATTTATTGTGCAGATCAGTAGCAGCATTAGATTCTCATAAGGAGCACTCCACCGAGGCTTCATAATAGGGTTCACACTCCTGTGACAATCTAATGCCACTGCTGATCTGACAGAAGGTGGAGCTCAGGCAGTAATGCAAGCAATGGGGAGCGGCTGTAAATACAGATGAAACTTTGCTTGCTGGCCCGCCGCTCACCTCCTGCTGGGCAGCCTGGTTTCTAAGAGGTTACAGACCAGTACCAGTCCATGGCCCAGGGGTTGCAGACACCTGATTTAACCTGTTTCAGGTGCAACTTTTTGATTGTCAAATCAGAGGAAGCACGACTCTCTCCCCTGACTTATTTAGCCTTGAGTTTGGTTTTGTATTTTTCTCCTTTAAAGAGCTGGAAACTGTCACAGATTCTAAATAGCAGGGGACTGCAGTTTCAGCAGGAAGTTTCTCTTTTCTACTTAAAATTTAAAAAATATTCAAAACAAGTTCAGAGAGAGCCATGTCTATATGACAAAGAGTGTGCACCCAGCACACTATCAGGCTTGTGTGAGTGCTCACTATTAATATGTGAACATTAAATTTTTACTTGTTTACTAGGTAGCAATTGAACTCAAAATCTCCAAAAGGATATACAAAAACAAGTGCTGTACCTAACTGGCATGCCCTTCTTTCCCTAGACACTCAAGCCTCCTCCCAGCAACCAGGCTACCAGTTTCTTGTGTCTTTCTGGAGTCTTTGTGTGTATAAACAAGCATGCTGCCGATTCTCTTCTTCTTCTTTACTTATACAAATGATAGCGTTCTCTGCCTTTCTATATGTTCTACATGTTGTTTATTTCACTTAATGTGTCTTGGAGATTATTCCATATCAATACCAACAGAACTGTCTCACTCTTCTTTGTTGTCCATTGCTGTCAACCATAAAAAGATTCCATTGTTTAGATACTCTGTAACCAGATTCCTATTGATGGACCGTTAGCTTTTGCTATCAGGAGCAACGCTGCAGTAAATTTAGTAGGTGCTCATTCAATGTTTCTCTCTTAAAAATTAACTTTATTGAGGCATATTTTGCATATCATATAATTCACCTCTTCTAAGTGCTCAGCACAATGGGGTTTGTAAGTAAATTTACCAAGTTGTGCAGCCATCACCGTAGATCAGTTTTAAAACATTTTTGTCATCCCCAAAAGATCCCACATGCACATTTATTTTGGTTTTAACCTCAGGCCAGCTTTTCCACAGTCTCAAGATAGCTCTTGGCCTCCCCTGTGGTCCGAATGCTTTCTTTTTCCTATAGAAGCATGAAAACCCAAGCACTGCACTGATTGGATCACCCCGAAATACTTTTTTTTGGAGAGTTCTGCCTGCTGATTGGTTTAGACTTTGGTTAATGGACCAATTAGAGAGCAAGAATATCCTGAACAGTTTCTCCCCACTGTTCACATGTCCACAACTGCTAATCCACTTTCTGTCTTTATAGTTTCTACTGGACATTTTATATAAATAGAATTATATGCTATAGGGTCTTCTGTGTGTCTTTCACTGAGCATAATGAGAGTGTTTTTGAGGTTCATCCATGTTGTACCCTGTATCCATAGTTTGTTCTTTATTATTGCTCGATGGTATTCTACTGTATGGCTATACCCCATTTTGTTTATTCATTCACTAATTGGGCAGTTATGTTGTTTCCAATGAACATTCAGGTTGTTTCCAGTTTGGGGCTATTACGAATAATTCTAAGAACATTTGTGTGCAAGTCTCTGCGTGGACATATGGTTTCATTCCTCTTGGGAAGATACCTAGGAGTGGAATTGCTGGTTCTTTTGATAAATTGATGATTAACTTTTTTAACTGCCAAAGGGTTTTCCAAAGTATCTTTCCCATTTTTACATTCCCGCCAGCAGTGTATGAGGGTTATCGTTCTTTTCCACGTCCTCATCTACACTTGATTGTCTCTGTTACTATACCCATCCTAGTGGATATGTAGTGGTATCTCATTGTGGTTTTAATTTGCGTTTCTTTAGTGATTGATGATGCTAAGCATCTTTTGGTGTGCTTATTTTCTGTTTCTTACACATAACCCTAAGATCATATCCAAGAAAAAGCACAATATTTGGTCTTCAACAAACCTGGACTCATATTTCTGCTCTACCACTTGCAGGCTGTGAGAAATTAGGCTTGTTACATTCACCCTTGGAAGTTACTTCAAGGCCCTGGTGCAGAGATTCATATTTGTAATCCCTGCACTTTGGGAGGCCCAGGCAGAAAGATCACTTGAGGCCAGGAGTTTGAGCAATATAGCAAGACCTTGTCTCTAATCAAAAATTTAAAAAATACCTGGGCATGGTGGGTGTAGTCCCAGCTACTCAGGAGGTCGAGTGGGAGGATCCCTTGAGCCCAGGAGTTCGAGGACGCAGTGAGCTATGATCCACCACTGCATTGCAGCTTGGGCAACACAGTGAGATCCTTTCTCTAAAAATAAATGAATAAGCAACATTCCTTAAGCTTCCAAGTAGTCATCTGTGAAATGGGAAGGAGCACCCACCTGGTAGTTTACTGCGAAGATGAGATTTAATCATGTCAATGAAGCACCCAGCCTTGGGGCTGACATACAGCACGCATCTAAGATGGTCTCTCCTGCCAAATCGTCTTCCTCCAACCTCCTCCCACCCCGTCATGTGGCCAAATTTCCAGAAACCATCATCGGGGAAGGTACTTTTCCTAACATGGAGCTGGGTATGAAGAGACAGTGGGTGCGATGTCCAAATCTACAGTAATTGAGATGGCAGATTCAGGAACACAATTGCCATTGCAGTAGGCTGGGTAATCAGAACTAATCCCTCCTGTCCCCACTGAGAAGGCACTCGGACTGCTGGCTTTCCTGCCAGCTCTGTAAGAGCTGGGTCCCCTGGTCTGCTTGTGGGCTGTGAGCTGTTCACTGATCCCTTCAGCTGACAGCTGGCTTCCTGCTGACAGCAGCCATGCCCCCAGCTGTGTATGTGTGTGTGTGTGGGGGGGTGGCTCAGATTAGTCAGAATATAACTTGGCATCACTTGAATGTGTTAAATGTTTTAGCCTTCCTTGTTCTTCACCAATTTGAGAGAAAGACATTATTTTTGTAATTTTCCCATGTAGCAGCTAACACTTATATAATGCTTACTATATATGCTATTCAAAGGAGCTTTTTACAGATGATTTGCCCAATTTTCATAACAGCCAGATGAAGAGATACTGCTATTATCTTATGAAGCAACGGAGGCAGAGAGAAGATAAGCTAGTGAGTGGCAGAGATAAGGTCCGTGCCCTGCATCAGACATCACCCTGCTGTTCTGTAAGCAATGTATGAGGGTTATTGTACATTTGGAGTATCTATTAAAATGTGATAAGTGAACATTCGTCTCTCCGGCAATTCCATTTCTTGGGATCTCGTCTAGAGAACCACTTATGTGCCTAAGGAGGCAAGTACCAGGATGTTCTCTGAGACAAATTTGGAAGTCTAACACACTCCAGCCAAACTATGTATCGATACAAACAGGTGACACAGGGTATTGCCATATTATGGAATACTAACATTATCTAGCAGTTTTAAAAAGCTGATGGAGCACTTTATGGATTGGCTTGACATGGTAAGATTGTCAAAACTTATTATTAAGAAAAATATGTATGTAGGAAAGCATATGCCATATGTACCTACATACATATGTATAATCGATGCCTTACCTAGAATAAAATTATTATTTATTTAGATGATTATATATGTAATGAATAGAAGGATACCTAAAAGGATACCAAATCCTCTTGGGAAAGTACTGAGATGAGGGATAATGTTTGTGGGGGATTTTATATATATATATATATATATATATATATATATATATTTTGTTTGTTTGTTTGTTTTGTTTCTTCTTCTTCTTCTTTTTTAAAATCTGGGTCTCACTCTGTCACCCAGGTTAGAGAGTAGTGGCAAAATCATAGCTCACTACAACCTCAATCTCCTGGGCTCAGGCTATGCTTCTGCCTCAACCTCCCCAGTGGATGGGACTATAGGTGCGTGCCACCATGTTTGGCTAGTTTTTTTTGATTGTTTAAATAGAGACAAGGTCTTGCTATGTTGGCCAGGCTGTCCTTGAACTCTGGGCTCAAGCAATCCTCCCACCTAGGCCTCCCAAAGCGCTAAGATTACAGGTGTGAACCACTAGGCTCAGCCTTTATTTGCACGTTTAAGAACACACATGTATCCATTTAGGATCTGTATAATTAAAGGGGAATAAAATGTTTAAAAAGAAAGAAACTTGCCATGAACCACACAGTTAAAAAAAAAGCAGGCTGGGCTTGATGGCTCAGCCTGTAACCCCAGCATTTTGGGAGGCTGAGGTGAGTGGATTGCCTGAGCCCACGGGTTTGAGACCAACCCGGGCAATGTGGCAAGACCTTGTCTCTACAATAAACTTAAAAAAAAATAGCCGGGTGTGGTAGCGCATGCCTGTAGTTCCAGTTACTTGGAAGGCTGAGGCGGAAGGATGGCCGGAGCCCAGCAGGTCGACGCTTGGATGGCTGTGAGCGTGCCACTGCACTCCAACCCAGGTGACAGAGTGAGACTCCAACTCAGAAAAAAAAAAGGCAAATTCAGCATTCTTTCCAGTTAACACATTATCTTGCCAAGGTTGTCTGTGAAGTCCACCAAGAACTCCCCCACTAATACCAATAATTCAACATTGCTTGTTCATCTCCAGCAGAGAACGATAAATCTGTCATCAGGGGTTCTCACCTTCAGAGAAGCCACGAAACATGAGCCACAGCCTGACTTAACTGTCCTTTTCCTTTCCAGAGTACAGTCAGTGCCCTGTGACTGAGATACGTGGTAACCAAACTGGTGGTGTGAGTCAAACAGTGTGTGTTTGTCAGTGTCTTCACGTGTGGGACAACACTGTCAGGAAGTAGTCACCTGGGGAGGAGTCACAGGTGACACACAAGGTCTCGACGCCAGCCTAACTCTTGACAGCTGGATTTATCCTTTCTTCCTTTGCCGTCCGCAGCAGGTGTCTCCAGGAATGGGAATGGAGGACTCATGTCCTGTGAATGACTATCACAGATGAGCCAGAAGACAGTTTCGTACATTAACTGAGATGTCACTTAAAAAAGCATCATTGCGGTAACCCACAGCTGAAAAGGAAATTGACGAAACAAGCGAAGTCTTTCCTTACACTCTGTGGATTACCATAATGAAAAGCAATTATGTAACCGATTCTTAAGAGGCAATTGACATATATTATTCTAATTCTCCGAATGCTATCATTATCTCCTTTTAGAGATGAGAAAATAGACTCAATACCTTGGGCAGGTAAGTGGCAGAGCATCATAGTATTATAGGCCAAATAATGCTTAGTTCATAATACAATGATGTCTCTTGGTCTAGAGAGCGTTTTTCCGGCCATGAGAGCACCTTTTGTTTGTGAACCTCCCCTAGGAACGTAGAGAGGCAGGGTGGTCACCCTTCTGCCCTACAGGTGCTCCTAAGAAGTGTTGCCGATCGGCCATGAAAAGAAATGAATGTCATACAGGCTACAACACCGATGAACCTTGAAAACATGACACTAAGTGAAAGCTTCTATTAACATGAAATGTCCAGAATCTACACATTCACAGACAGAAAGTAGACCAGTGGCTGCCTTGGGCTGTGTATGTGTTGGGGGGGGGGAGTAGAAATGAGAAGTAAGTGGTATAGGGATTCTTTTTTGAGCTAAGGAGAATGTTCTGTAATGGATAGCGGCGATGGTTGTGCAATTCTGAATATACTGAAAGCCACTGAATTGTTCATTTAAGTGAGTGAATTGTATGGTATGTGAATTCTATATCATTAAAGTCATTAAAGAGCTGGGTGTAGCTGGATGTGGTGGCTCACGCCTGTAATCCCAGCACTTTGGGAGGCCGAGGCTGGGGGATTGCTGGAGTCCAGGAGTTGGAGATGCAAACAAACAAAAACAAATACCTTAATCCTGTTTGCTCAATGAACCCCTCACTTTCATCTTGAACCTGACCCTGCAAATCATGTAGCTGATCCTGCTACTCAGGCAAAGGTCTCCAAACGCCATCGGCCTCACACTTGGGTTCCCTCTCCCCCTGGTCATTCTTGCTCGTTGGAAGATTTTTGGGTGGTGGGGAAACCTTGACCTGTCGTCAGGGAACTTGTCTCTGGCAACCTGTCTCTCGGGATATCTGAGCTAACCTGGAAAGTGGGAGGAATTGGTTCTAAGTGGTTTAGAAGCTGTTACTGACACCTACATGGAAAGGGCATCCCCTTCTGCAGCATGACTGTGGCCGTGTCCATCCGGCTTCTCCCACCCAGAGCTTAACTCAGGTTTCTGGTTTGGGGCCCTCAGCACCCCTGCAGTTCCTAACCGCCCCTCCCAGTTCAGGCTAACTGCACCGGAGCTGGTTCTTTCCCTGCTCCGAGATCCAAGGTGTGGGAGAACTGCCACCGTGTTAAAAAATGGGAGGTGACTGTTTGGATGGAGCTCAATTCTACTCCCGAGCTAAGGACCCACAAAGCAGAGATTTGGCCGAGTGGCACTCCGTGTGTCTGCCAAGTAGAATAGAAAGGAAGTGTCCTCTGGATTCCGAAAGACCTGCATCCTCAGGGCTGCCTCCTGTCTGTGCAAGCCATGTCCTGTGCAGTTCTAGTGATCCTTCACACGCTGAAGGTTTCAGCCTTCACAGCCCCGAGGGCTGGCGCCAGGGCAGCAGCCTCTGGAGCTGTGTCATCTTGAGCACGTTTCTAATCCTCTCTGAGCCACAGGTTCCTCATCTGTAAAAGGTGGGAGGCATTAACAACTATCCTTCGGGGTCGGGCATGGTGGTTCACACCTGTAATCCCAGCACTTTGGGAGACCAAGGGCAGGAGGTTTGCTAGAGGCCAGGAATTTGAGACCAGCCTGGTCTCAAACGTAGTGAGGCCTCATCTCTACCAAAAATAAATAAATAAACGCCTAAGTGAAAGACCTGTCCTTTAGGTCGTTGAAGAGAGATGAAGTGACATAAGCCTATCTGATGACTAATCAGATATTTCACGCCTGCTTGGGTCAATGATGCCTGCTTGCTCCAAAAATGTGGGTCCAGTCCCTGCCTTCTCTGGGGCACTTCTCTGGTGCTTGGAATGAGCAGTTTTCCAGTTTCAAAATATCTCCCACCCGGAGACTCATTTGGATGTAATCAACTCTTTTTTTTTTTTTGGAGGCAAGGATGGGCCCACGCTTTTTTGAGCACATTTTTGCTCGTTGAAAGGGGAATGACAGGAGACACGTTACGAGCCATCGCCTCCTGTGATGCTCCCCTCTCTGTCCGAGCTCTGGCTACTCTGAGATCTGCATAGGACTGTAGGATGAGTGGTTCTCAATCAGGGCAGGGCCCCCACTCCCAGGGGACATTTAGCAGAGCCTGCAGACTTTTTTTTTGTGTGTGTAAAGACGAGGTCTCACTATGCTGCCCAGGCTGGTCTTGAACTCCTAGCCTCAACCCATCCTCCCGCCTTGGCCTCCCAGAGTGCTGGGGTTATAGGCCTGAGCCATCATGCCTGGTCTGCAGACATGTTTCATTGTCTTGTATGGAAGGGTGAGGAACGCTCCTGGCATCTGGTGGTGGGACCCGGGGATGCCTCTAAACATCTGTAATGCCCAGGACGCCTCCACCACGTAGAAAGACCCGGCCCCGATGCTGGCAGCCCTGCAGTTGAGACAGCCGCTGAGGTCCCCCAGCCTTTCTCCTGCCCGGATGTAAGTGAGCCCCCAGGGTAGCACCGTGTGGGCATCTCAAATTCCGAGGAAGACCAGAGAAATCCCAGAGCAAACAGTGATGCCAGGGATTTTTATTTTTCAGGTTCATGTGGCACGAAAGATGACAGACTCAGGAGGGCCCCCGAGCCGCACACTGTGTTTTTTATCGACGTTGCTTTCCCAGAAGGTTCCCGAGAAGTCAGCCGCTGTGCTTCGCTGCATTATATCCGGTAACCGCCCCTGGACTAGCTACTCCCTTTCTAGAACCTTCCCGCAGACCAGGTTTCTTGGCTCCCAGAGGCATTGTGGAAACATCGTTTGGGAAAATTGCCTGGGAGGTTTTTCAGAGTAACCGATGAAGCAAGTCGAACTCTATGATTTGTTTCTGAAAGATTTCTTTGAGTGACTTCCTGGACACAACTGAGTGTGATCTTCTTCCCTTCGTTGTGGTTCTGGATTGGGCAGCTTTCACCTGGTTCCCCCCCTCCCACATAATCCACTCTTAATTTTATTTTCTTCTTGGGTATCTTTAGTCATGGTTTAAATTTTATGTGGCACATAGGAACAGCACAGATCACTTCATGGAGTACATTTACTGAACTCTTCTGTTCCTCTTTATTTCCCAAAACTGGCTAAATTAGCCTCCCCTGCTTGCCTCCTTCAGGTATGCTGATGAGTAAACATTTGACAACTGAGGCACAGAGGGTGCCCAGGGGAGAAAAAGCAGAGGCTTGGAATTTCCCCTGGGTTGGGGAATAAATAACTCAGAGTATGGGCTCCCCCGATGGAAAAAGGAGTTATCATTAAAAAAAAAAAAAAAAATCATTGGGTAGGGAAGTGGTCTCTTGTGGGTGATTCTCCTCTCTTCCCTGGATTATGTCTCTCCCCTTGAAAACATGAAGGTACCACTGGTATTTCCTGAGGGCAGACGGGAAAGTCTTCTCCCCTCGACCCTCTTTTTCATCAAGAGACTAGAAAAGTCAGCCTCAGAAACGATCGCCCTTGGCTAGCAGAAAACCTGATAAACCCAGGTGTCCCGCTTCATGCTGGCCGACCACCATTCAGAGAGATGCGGAGAGGTGCGGGCCTACCTTGAGTCTGGACATACCCTGAACTTGGCTGCCGGTCACCGCACACATTAGCCAGATACTTCTGAAACATTCATGTGGTGGCTTTCAATACGTGAGCCGTAGGTAGTTTCAAAAAACAAGTGGAGGATTTTCAGGTGAGGTTTCCAGCAAGTGGCGGGAGGAAAGAGAACCACCCACAAGGTACAAGATACCACTTCCCTGTGCAAGTCTCATTTCTGGCTGATTGCTCAGATCTATAGTCCACAAAGGGAAAAAACCAGTCAGCCATTAGGAACTGGGGGAAATCAATCTGCCCTCATCAGTCTGAATGAAAAACTAGAGTCCAAGAGGTCAGAATGTGTTCTCCAGGTCCAGCTCATACTTATTTTATAGACTCTTTTAAAAAAAAAGTGTGTACACCAAAAAGGAGCAGTTCCTTAAAGGCATCTAGTAACACAGGGTGAACAGGTAGGAATGAATTTGATCGGCAATCTCCTCGCTGGGTTTTCAGAGTGAGTTTAATCATTTGCCTGGAAGAGTCTCAGCCTAGCGGGAGCTGGAGAAGGATTTATCCTTGCATGCAGGTCTGTCTGCTTCTAGTCTCAGGGTTGCCACTCAGGTACCTACCTGGAGGAGGAGGCAAGGGAGAAGCATCCACAGTAGCCGAAAAGCACATTCACGGCTGGGCCCAGAGGTGGCCTAGCTGGATGGCATAGAGGGGAAGGGGGAGTGACCCAGCATTTTCAGGCGTGCTGGTCTCACTGATTTTTTTTTTTTTCTTGATCTGTTTTGACTTTCCTCTTTCTGTGGCCTCGGAAGAACACAGAGTTCTTATTTTATTGGTCTGCTTATTGGGGTTGCTTGCCAAAAATTACGCGATAAATAACACAAAAGCACAAGAACACTCCTGGGATGAATTCAGAATGGTGCATTGTTTCCAAATACCAGCCTTTCCTTCCTGTATATAGGGCACATTTCGATAAAGTTGCAGAGACATGGAGGCAAATGAGAAAGCTCTTTGAAATTTTCCTGTTCTGTAACAAGAGGGAAAAATTCCTAAGGGGTGGATGAAATTCCTGAGGGTTTTACCAGATTATCCTACATCGCATCCGTTAATGATCCCCAGGGAAGGATGAACTCCTTTTGAGGAAAAAAGCAAAGGTCAATTTCTGTGATGTCAGCAGTCACGTATGCGTAGGCGGCCTGAGAAATCTACCCTCCAAATTTCTTCATCCTCAGGAAGAAAATGGCATTCACTAATCAACTTTGTTCTTCTCTTTTTTTACCATGGCCACACTCCACTTTGAGCACTATTTTTTTTTAATCAATATTTTTTATTATGGTTTTGTGGGTGAGCACTATTAAAGTGTAATTTTCTAAAAGGTACAGTGGTTTCCATGCAAATATGAAATGAACACTTCAAAGAATGTATCCAACTCATTAATTAATCAAAGAGGAAGCCAGAAAGTATTAAGGCCTGAGGAACTAGGTATTTACAGGCAATTTAATGCAAGAATGTTTAAATAAAAATTGCTAGGTTAGGTATAACGCTGATTAATGTCCTATAGGGCAATAAACCATAACTTATGGAGGTTTAGCTTTTCTGCCAAGTGGAAATTATTTTCATCTGTATTGGATAAAAGCCTACAAGTTAATCTATAACTTCACTAAATCTGGGAATTTTAATCAGCAGTTTCCACTGAGTGAAACAAATAGATGACCCAAGATCATTCTTAGATGGGCCTTTGCCCTCCTATGACGTTAAAACAAAAAGATTATCATCCGTATCTTTGCCTTATTTCAATTGGAAAAGTTTTTTTTAATAGCTCCTTGAGATGAGAGGTAGCATTTTTTTACTTTGTATTCTTATCCCTCAGCACAGTGCTATCTTAGGTACCTAACACGGTCAATAGTGTTTACTGAATAAAATATTTGTGTTAAAGTGTCAGTGAGAGGAAGACGTTTCAGTTCCCCACCCGACATTAGGCTCATTCCTATTGTTTATTCCCCATCTTTGTTCATAGCTTTATGATTTTTTTCTAAAAATACTTAAAGTAATAAGAATATTCTTATTTCTTTATCATCAGGTCAGCCCAAGCCAGAGGTAACTTGGTATAAGAATGGTCACGTCATAGATGAGTGGGGCATTGTCTCCAGTTATGAATTCTTTGAGAATCAGTCTATCCACGTGCTACATCTCTCTTGGTAAGTGGTTATGTCCCTGCAGAGTCTTTACTAAGACCCCTATATTCTGTCATGGGCTGGTTACTATGAGTTAAGGCCAAGAGACTGGCTCAGTTTTGCTTTTGGAGTCTTAGTTTTAGATGTTACTGGCAGGTTCAGCCGAGGCATCCAACGATGATGATTTCCTGAGCTCTGCCCAGTAACTAATTACACTTCCCTAATTTGCTGCCGTTGATGGAGTTAAGCTTTATCTAGAATCTTATTCGAGGTGATCCAGTAGTGCTCATCCATTAAATAAGCTTTTCCTTTCGTCTTGATCTCTCTGGAAACTTCAAAAGGCAGGCTAAGATCTCAGCATTTCCATCCAACCTGCCATGGGTAAGAAGAAAGAGTAAGTGCTGATCTTGATCCCACAGCAAATTGGTGGTGGAGTTACGGCTGGAAACCAAACCTCTGGCTTTCTTTTAGGAAGTAGTGTGGTCCAGTACAGTGATTTCTGATTCTTTTTCATTCCCCCCAAGAACTCTTTGCTCAGGTGTAATCAGGAAACTCGATATGTGAAGTAGAGAAAAAGAGAACCACTTGGGCTGAAGCTGGGGAGGCAGTCTGTACCCTCGGTCCCCAGTGCTACTAAATTGGTCACAGTGCCCTTATGGGGGCTCTTCGGAGCCTGCAGTTTCTGCAGGGCATGATGTGAAAATGACTGGGAGGCATGGAAACACTCCGACAGTCTTGGGTCTGAGAATAAACAAATAAGAATTCCTGCTCTGCCGTTTTCTCACTGTGTGACCTTGGCCTCTCTGAAACTCAGTTTCTTCATCTGTAAAACAAAAGGGTGACTGGGAGAATGAAGTAATTTAAAGCGTGTGAAAGTTTTGTTACATAGTAGTTGTTCATAAATATTTGAGCTTTCTTAGCCCTCACGCACCCCTCGGTTTAAAGTAACATCAGAGATCGTTCGACCATGGTTGAAATGCTCGATCCATCTGACTTACAGCCCGTCTAACCTGACATTCAGGGCACCGGTTTATTAATCTATTCTTTAATTCTTTAGTAAATAGGCATCAGGCACTCATATATGCCAAGCACTTTGCTTAACGCTAGAGGTAGAGGGGAATAGCACAGACGTTGTCCACACCCTCGCAAAGCTTAGACTCCAACATGGAAGATAAGTGGTGAGCAAAATAGAGCCATTATTCTCCTTACCACCCTGATACACCGGGAGGCAGCCAGAACTTCCCTACCTCCTCATTCCTATCTTGTCAAGGCCTGCCCTTTCTCATCTTCACCCTATTCAGCTTGGAATCCATCGCTAAGATTCAAAGACGATTCCAGTTATGCATGGATCTGTCCAGTCTCAAACATTCTCTTCTCCTTTGGTCCTGTGGCACAGGTCTCCCCTTGGGTGCTTAGCTATTGCTCAGGAATGATACAAGTTCAAGAGACTGTGGATCTCCCAGGGGACAGAAATCCTCTGTTTATCCAAATGCATCCCCCAGAATCTGGTACAGTGCCTGAAACATATAAATATTTACTCAAAGTACTGATGGGTAGATCTATCCATTATCTAGTTATCTATCTATCTATCTATCTATCTATCTATCTATCTACCTATCTACCTATCTACCTATTGTTTTTGTTAGTTTGTCTAGACTGATGTTGGCAAACTTTTTCTACAAGTGATCAGATTGTAAATATATTAGGCTTTGAGGCCAGATACAAAAATAGGCCACAACTATTTAAGTCTGCCATAGACAACATACTTTTAAAAAAAAGCACATAGCTGTGTACCAATAAAATTTTATTTACAAAACAGATGAGGGGCCAGATTTGGTCTTGAGCTATAGTTTGCCAGCCCTGGTAAAATCCTTGAGGATCTACATACTGAACTTCCTTGTATATTTCCTACCCTTGTTTGTTTCCCTCTGAGCACTCAATACATTTTTCTTGATTGATTGATTTTAGTCTCACACTAAGTCAAAATATTATACTCACATTTTAGCCAGAAGAGAAGCTTGATGTGTGTTCTTTTAAGAACTGAGATCTGGCCAGGCTCGGTGGCTCAGCCTGTCATCCCAGCACTTTGGGAGGCCGAGGCGAGTGAGTTGCTTGAGTCCACGGGTTCAAAACCAGCCCAGGCAACTTGGCAAGACCTCGTCTCTACAATAAATCAAAAATTAGCTGGGCATGGTAGCGTGTGCCTATAGTTCCAGCTACTTGGAAGGCTGAGGCAGAAGGATCGCTGAAGCCCAGCAGGTCGACGCAGGGGTGGCCATGAGCGTGCCACTGCACTCCAGTCTGGGCAATGGAATGAGACTCCAACTCAAAAAAAAAAAAAGAAAGAAAAGTAGCTCACCTCTGAGGGGGAGCAAATATCCAGTCCTAATGTAAGAAATGATAGCAGAGCAATATGATAATAGACATGGTCACATTTCTCTGCCTGGTCGTGAATACACTGGGTACTGATCTTTGAAAGTTCTGACTTCCTGCTCCAGTAGTTCTGAACTCTAGCTGCCTATTAGCATTACCTGGGGAGATTTTATTTTAGTTTTAATTGGAGTCTCACTCTGTAGCCCAGGCTGGACTGCCGTGGCACACTCACGGCCACCGCAGCCTCAACCTGCTGGGTTTAGGTGATCCTTCCGCCTCAGCCTTCCGACTAACTGGAACCACAGGCACATGCCACCATGCCCGGCTAATTTTTTGATGTATCGTAGAGATAAGGTCTTGCTGGTCTCAAACCCATGGGCTCAGGCAATCTTCTCGCCTTGGCCCCCCAAAGTGCTGGGATGACAGGATTGTGCCACCGCGTCTGGCCAACCTGGGGAGATGTTAAAGCCCACTAATGCTTGGGTTTCATGCTTGACTCATGAAATCGGAATCCCAGGTGATTCCAAGGTGTTGCTCAAGATGAAGAATGTTCTTCATCTTAAACTTTCATCTGCAAAGTAATTTGACTCGTACCCGTATGTTAAATGCTAGTTAGGAAAATGAATTTTTGTGCAAATGCCATTCAAAGGTTCAAAGTTGTTAGTTGTAATATTAGTCTCAAATTATCCTGTCATATACCATAAACCACTGGATGAGCTATAGCCCATAGAAAAGTACTCTGAGTTTGACCTTTGGTTCATTAACTTTGTTTTTATTTTTCTGTTGAAATAATCACTTTATTAACTGCAAATGGGATTATGATTTTTCAAATTTCCAAGTAGGCAAAATTTCTCTAAAAACGATCACACAGTTTTTACTAGAACATTTAAGTCAAAGACAACTTTCAAATTACTTGTGAAGATTCATTAACTCTGAGTTCGGAGATATTTGGAAGCTCTTGTGTCTGTGTTTCCCACAGGCTTTTCGGTTTAACAAATCTAGTCTGTAGTTCTGCTTTGAGGCTAAGAACCAGCCCTGCTGTGGTATTTATGGACTTTCTGATTTTCTCTCTTTCCTCTGCTCAGTGGTATCCTCTTCTCCAAACTCCCTGCATTCTCCTCCTAATCTCACGAACCCAGGCACCTCAGGCAAACGAGACAGCCTGGAAGAGGCTTATCAGTGCTGTCATAACCTTTATATTGCCATGGGTCAGGTGTGCTTGGCAGGAAAGAGAAACGGTGAAGCAAGAAAGCATTCAAAGGGAGAAAAGCATCAGTAATAGCATTATGGTACGCACTGCAGCTTGAATATCGCTTTGTTTTGTTTTCAAAAGATGGGGGGGGAGAAGGAAAGTGCAAATAGATGCTTTCTGCCTCATAGCAAAAACCAGTTGCAATGATGTGTATACACATGGGGGAAACCGTGGTCTCTTAAAGATGAACACAATGTCATGGGAGGCACAAAGCGATAGAAACAAATCTGTCCAGGAACCCACATCTAGAGAGATGTACCCCTCCTCAGCAGGGAGGCCTCCTTTGCTGGTGGCAAGCACAGTGCTGAGAGAAAGCAGGAGGGAGGTGGAAGGAAGGGGAAGAAGGGGCGCGGGGTGGGGGAGACACAGCAGCAGAGCTCAGCCAGCGCCCTGGTGGGGGGAGGAAAGGGCAGCTCCTCTGCTCTCTGTCAACTCAGCCCTGGCATGGGCTGGACTGGAGCCAGGCCCCACAGAGCACACGCAGGGACAACAGCCAGGGAAATGGCACAGTCACTGCAACCACGTAGAGTAGGGCAGGATCCCCAACGGATCTGAGGCCTGTTAGGTACCAGGCACATGGCAGGAGGTGAGTGGCAGGCCAGCCAGCAAAACTTCATCTGTTTTTACAGCCGCTCCCCATCGCTCGCATGACCGCCTGAGGCCCGCCTCCTGTTAGATCATCAGCAGCAGGCCAGACTTGGTGGCTCACGCCTATAATCCCAGCACTTTGGGAGGCCAAGGTGAGAGGATTGCCTGAGCCCACGGGTTCGAGACCCGCCCGGGGAACTTGGTGAGACCTCAT